AAATAAATTATTTCATTATTAAACTTAAATTAAATTTTAATAAAAAAATAAATTAAAGAAATTACATAAAAAATGAGATTTTTTAAATAGTTGATTTGATATTAACATTGATATATATTTTTTCAAACTTTTATGATATTTTCAAATTTATATTTTATTCAAAAATAAAATCATTATTGATTTCTTAAAAACACATAAAATCATATTATAATATCGACAAAAAAATAATAAAATAGAACATTAAAATCGAGATGTATCTCGCTGCATTGCACGAATACCCTTATAGTATATATATATATATATATATATATATATATATTGTTTATGATAGAAAAAAATGTAAGTTATCTACGATAATAACTATGATATATATAAATTAAATGTGTTTTGCTACACATCACATCTCATCTGAGCTTAATAGCCATTGCATATGATTTACATCCCAACCCAACAAGTGGCACAAGACAATTTGCAATTATTGTAAAGTTAAAACACCCTTGAACAAACATGAGTAGTCATTCCATGTACTTTACAATCATGCCGCATAGATACGAAACCGAGACTTAAATTTCAAAATACAAACATAACAAATTCTAAAAGGACATGTTCCGATCTCACACTCAAGCATCAAACGACCATTATTATCAAGATTACAAAAAGGACACACATACTCACATGTTGTCTTTCTTCGAACATACATTAATGGATGTTTGTGATGAGAAGACTTGTATCTTCTCTTCTTCTCCACCCTGACATTTGCATACAAATCAATTCGATTAATGCAATGTAGGTGAAATGAATTCTTGCATTTGTGACAATGATAGAGTGGGAACTTGGGGTGCATTTCCTCCTCACATATATCACAATAGAAATCTTCCGGATGATCTTCGACCGGGAGATACGTCAATGGGATTTCATGTCCTTTGCAATACCTATGAGTAAGTAACTGAGGAGACCGTATTGCACAATACATGTCTAGTTGGAAATTACAAGCTTTGCAAGCAAAACTTATACCCGTATATATTTTGTTACATGCCTTACAACGTTGGTTGGGATCCATGACTTGGGTAAGAGGATGTTTGTGAGATTTATGTATGATGGTGTCGGATAAAAATCCACAATTCACATCCAAGTAGAACTTGCAAGTTTCACATTTGTAGACAAACTTGTTGCCTTCGCTAAAACAACCATTGCATCTATAAAGGTACTTATCTTCACTGGTGTCTACCAAATCAAGTGGATGATCTGGGTGAAGATGATGTTCTAATGTGAGCGGTAATTCGGCACAATATTTGTGAAGGGTAAATGAACATCCATCTTTGCAAAGTATAATATGGAAGGGAGAGGGGTCGTACACATCCATTACATGCCTCTATTGGATCATCACAACCATTGTCGGGCATGTTGTTACCTCGAGGTTCAACGCTAAGGTTCAATGGATGACCATGACTCCAATGGCTAATTTCTATTGCACCATCATCGTCTAAAGATACCTTCTCCGAATGAAGAAACTTTAGTGGATCAGTGAATGCATGTGACATGGGAAATTGCATAAAATCATTTGTGCGTCCTTCAGCAGTATAAGTATCTGGAGCATTGCTGAAATGATATATTCAATTTAGAAGAAACATTCACATAAAAGTAAAAACAAAAATCAGAAAAGAAAAAGAAAAAGTTTGACCTTGGAATGGAAGGTTGCTCTGCGTTTAAAGCGCATTTAATGTGGGCAAAGTATCTACAGTTTGCACAATGATACAACCAACCGTTTTTTCGGATGGTTTTGTCGCAGAACTCGCAGTAATACCAAAATTTATAAAAATTATCCGGGAGTGAATAGACGAGAACGAGAGGATGATTAGGATGGTGGGGTAGATCAATGGTGGGTGCTAAGGAAGCACAAGTCTTGTGGAGCCAAAAATCACAACTATCACATTGATAGAATAAGTCTTCATCCTTAGCTTGACAAGCATCACAACGAAATGAAGCAGATCTTGATTGAAGGGTTAAAGTGTGTTGTGGGTGACCTTCATGTTTAAACTCGATCAATGCTTCCTCCTTGAGTGCAACAGCAAGACCACATTTCGTGCATGCATCAAAGTCACAACTCATACACCAAATAGCTAAAACCCTTCACCAGTCCTCGACTATCGCACACGTCACAACTCCAATTGTTACTATGGCGAGCAACGAGCATAAGAGGATGGAAGGGATGCAAATGGTGATTGATAACCGGTGCTAGGTTTGCACATATCTCATGCAAAAACTTAGAACACAAAGTGCAACCATATACACAGCCACCTAATATGGGTTCTCGACATCCATAACAACAAATGACTTTTGTCATTTCATCAGTAACACCTACAACTGTCTCCCATTTTTCGATCAGCTTTAATGAATGTTCTTCATGACTAAAGTGTTTAATCTCACTCATTCTCTCCTCGTATATGATATATCAATGAAACTTAAGATTTATTTCATTAATTTGATACAAAAGGGCATCCCTTACCTTTAAAAGGCTGAGGGAGGGAGGAAGGCATTTGGATGCATGACTGCATCAATGTTGCTTTTGGATGTCACTGCAAGAATAATGTTGCATCAATGCATCATCAGGATATAGCTTGCCTGTTAATTGTATATGCCTTCAATTCAAAGAAAGCAACAAGACAATTGAGCTGTCTTATAAATACCGACCCTTGCCTTAGATATACTATTTATTTGCATTATGTGTGTGCTTACAATCTTCATGCTATTAAGTTGCTCTACTAGAAACATTCAGAAAGGGATGCATATATGCTTACTATTGAGTAAGTTTAGACAAAAACATATTTCCATATGGCAGATTTCATTTGCCTAACCATGAACAACGTCATTTAGTTCTCTCCAACCTCTTTGAAAGATCCCTGGATCTTGGTGAGCATGTATATGTAATGAATGCATCTTTCCATGATTTTTAGTTTGCTTGCTACCATTCCTTGCTGGCCATTAATACAGACTAGTTGTRTAACCRGGCAATGCGGCAKGAGCCATGAATTTTAACGATTTTGAAGTTCCACTGGTTTTATAAGATAAGATTTAACGATGATATCGGTTACACTTGGTCTTTATATATTAATACAATTTGAATAAATAAGAGTTATGGTTCCAATTACAGACTATCGATGAAAAAAATTGTATGACAGTTTAAAATCCAATATAATTTAAATCCAACATATTTAAACGACTTCACAAATGTATTCGATTTATACCAAGAGCAAATAACCAAGAAACTTGAGTTTTAAGATAAACACTCAATACCAATAAAGAAAACTACAAATTTGATAGATCATAAGCCATGAAAAGACAAAAAAAGATGGGTTTTAAAATGAAATTTCAACTGTTTACCCTCTTTCTTGTCCAAAAACTCAGATTAAGGTTGAATTAATACATGTGTATATATATTTCAAAAAAACCTAAGAACATATTAATTCAAAACATATTATACAGTGCAATTTGGACAGTCTAACCCCAAAATATATAGTATATATATAAATAAATAACTAGGACTTACCATGGTTAGCGCTTACCGGGTAAATTGTTGCATACGATGCCGTTTTTGTTGACTAAAATCTTACCCGGTAAGCAAGTGATAGTGTTGAATTTCACTGGTAAGCGCTTACCGGGCAAGTGTTTGGTAAACGGCCCCCTTAAATCCATATAATACGATTTCTCTCACTAAAAGAACAAGAATTGATTAAAAATGAATTTGATAAGACTATGCATTGATAAGCAGTATACCCATTTGAAAGTCAAAACCACCATCAGATAGAGCTTTTGTTCTTTGATGATTGGATGAGGAATAATTAAAACAAAATGTGAACATTCTTGCAAGCTATTCTACCCATACAGCAAAGGTCCATGAACCATCAAGAGGGCTGTTTAAATATCAAAAGATACAAAGAAAAATGAAGATCATAATAACATAGAAAATCTTGTGCATAACCCCCCCCCCCCTCCCAAAAAAAAAGATTAATGGAACTCACAGCTTCTTCGGTCAGCTATACATGATTGTTTCGTAGTGTTTTAATGATACAGAAATTGGCTTATTCTGTAAGCTTATAGGGGAAGCTTTATGTAGAAAGTCAAGTTTTTTTCCAAGCCTACCCCTCCCAATTGAAAACACACTCCTTCCATCTACGAAAAATACCCTCCCAATATATACATACAAATAGCTTTATCCATGTAGGACTTAATGGAAAATCAACCAAACAACCCCTTGATTCAATGTAAGATGTGCAAATATGAATCCCAAATCATCCTCATAGTCTGGAAAAATAAAGAAAGAAATTTGACCTGCATACAGCATACTCATACAGCATACTCCACCAAAGGCTTCCTTGATTCAATGAGGTTTAAGAAAAGTTGATAAAGACTAACAACTCCAGAAACAAGATTCTCACCATTTTTCTTTATGAAACTAAAAACATAATTAAAACCAAAAGCTTTAAACTAAAGAAATGTACGTAAACTGAATCATCCACAATCAATTGTACCTTGTAATACCTCTGATCCTCTTTGGCCTGTTCTTCCTTTTCATTCAGCTGCTTTTTGACCTATCAATCATGATATCCAATCCATTAAAACCCAAAAAGTAAGATCCAAAATCAAGGATACAAAAAGAGTATAGAATATAAAACCTATAACAAATTATCTACAAGATTACAAAGCACGATATGGATGGAGACACAACCTTTGATGTATGAACTAAGAGTATCAGGTGCAAGTAACTAATTTCAGCACTAGCAGTACAAAATACAACTTTTCTGCATGAAGTACAAATATCATATGCAAGATATAACTTATACCACCTAAAATACAAGTAAGTAAATCATTTAACTTACAAATTTTTATGCATAGCATTTAATTTAAATTTAAGATACAGCTTTAACAACATCAAATACAGATACTGGATGCAACATGCAAGATGGAACTTTACATATATAAAGCACAAATCATTGTAACACGATTACACTGAATTTGATGAATCTTTAGAAAAATGGTGGTAAGAAACAGGACCGCAGACAGATTTTAACATGTRATAACGTCAATCAATAACCCATAACCCAACTCATGATTTAGAACTTAAGACCAGCAAATCAATGAGTTCCAGATATACAAAAAACCAAAAGTGCTTACGTGCAAGAAAGCTCTTCAGCTTTCCTCCATTCATCCATTGCCCTGTGGATCCCATCTTCATTTCTTCTCATGTGAACTACGTGGATCAAAAATCGGATCTATAATTTCTTTTTGGACCAAAGCAGTTACCATGCTAAACACCTGCCAAAACATCTTAACTGAGTGCCATGGCTAGGAAACCTTATACTTCAACAAAATATAGAAACACTTCTAAGAATAAGAAAAAAACAAAGACATTATTTGTAATATTTAAAAAAAAATCAATTTTGGGAGTTGAACATCAAAGAGATCAATGAGTGCTTTTCTTGACAGCAAAACAGAGTGCTCAAAAAGTTAAAAACTAGTTCTTTAGCCACAAATTGATGAAATACCTGAAGCCATCGAAGCACATATGTTGAGTCAGTTATGATCACCAATCGTCCCGTCAAATTTCAAATTTGGGCATTCAAAAATACATCTCTCTCCTAGTGATGGCAAATTGACGCCTATGCTTTTCAGCATCGGAAGATCCTCTAGATGCAGTGTGTTTAAACATGGCAATTCGTAGCCAACTGAATTGCTGTGTGCAAACAGAGTCTGCAACTTCTCACAAGACCT